TGAAATATACCAATTCAGAGTTGAAAACCCAGTTTGGGCTATAATTTGTGAAAAACATATTATGTTTTTCGGGTCTGGTTTTGAACAGAATACATTTAATATAATATGTTAACCTTAATGATCAATGTAGGACAGTGATGGTCAACCTTTGACCCGCGCCGCGGGTCAGACACTAACCCACGCTTTGATTTCTATTAACTTGCTTTATTATGCATACAATGGTAAATTATTTTTTTATACTTACATGATATATTTATACACGGTAATATATTAGTATCTTGTTCATCCCAGTAGTTACCTACTCAGTACATGGACTATACCAAAAATAATGAACAAGACCTTTTTATTTATGTGTGGTCATTCCTCGGTCAAACCGACCCATTCGTGCCATAATATATAGCTGGTTCTCCATTACTGATTTAGAAGAATATTTGAATAAATATACGGATTGGCCGTAGTCGAACTAAAAGGTGCCCTTATTGTCTAAGAGAGTTTCTTCTATTTACTAAACTATTTCTGGTATACGAGTACATCGGATATCCGTCCACGTTGTCGATTGATATGTGATTATCCGTAACATCTCCAGTGCGGGAGCGGAAAAGGATGTTTCGTAAAGTCTCTTTATTTTTACACGCTTTGTTAAACGATCTATTTTGTCTCAGTCGTAATTATAGCGTGATATTATTTATGTATATAATTAAAATAAGTAAGTAATAAATTAAATTAATAACATTAAGATAAAGCAGTTTTCCAGATACAAAACTTTAGTAAATAGTTTAGATAAAAGTAATAAATAATAATATAACCTAAACACACCATAGCGGTGTTTTTAGGTTAGATTATATAGGCCGTTAAAATTAAATATATATAATATATAAATATATATATATATATATATATATATATATATATATATATATATAATCATATAATATAACAAATACATTGCAATTAATGTCAAAAAATATAATAAATATTAGGAAAGAACAATCAAGGATTATTATGTATTATCACTTCTCATCAGATAAGCTACATCCTACTTTGCTCCCCTCTTCTATAATAAAAGTAATTTAAGTGAATTCGCTTACATAATATTTATTTATTTATATTATTGTAAACGCCTTTCATTAAGGATTGCAAAAGGCTGACTTAATTTATAGCATTGGCCACCAGTTACGTACATAAAAAAAAATTACTTGTCCTTTAAAATGTATTCTTATGTAACCAATTCAATCTTATACTAATCTTAACAGTAGCTTACATTGTATGATATCAAATCGCAAATACTTACCGGCGTTTCTAAGAGTTTGCAATACTTAACTTGGGTTACAGAGTTGTTTTTCTCGGAAGCGAAGCGGGCGTCTGGCAGCAATTGAACGCGTTTAAATTCTTACTCGGCGCGACCAACCTCAAAACATACTCATTTCGTAGCTCCACAAGAAAACCAATTTTTATTAAAACTACTTTTACGGATTTTATCGCGTTTAATTTATTTGATTATTAATTCCCGACGTGCTTTCCAGCACCCATGGTCACAGGGAACTACGATAAAATCCCTAATAGTAGTTTTAATCAATGTGTAGTGTCCGCGTCAATATAAGAAATCATTATGAAAACCGACTTTATTTGTGTATAACTAGATTTTGCAATATAATGTGTTGGGTAAAGATTTAGTAATCAACTATCTTTGTAACGAAGTGTTGTATGTGGCTGTAACACGCTGCATCTGTAGGCATTACTGCTGTAGCACCGATAAGTCGCCTTGACCGGGGAAGGACCACGCTCGTACCGAGTACCAGCGAGAATGGCATCACAACACTCCTGTGTTTCGATTAGTGAGTGATGAGTGATGACAATCGAAGACCTAGTTGCGAGGCATTTCATCTTAGTCCTCAGGGGTGACAACGCATCTGCATTTTGATTCTCAATAGATGAAAAGGTGTCTAGGTAGGTAGGCTTGTATTTCACCCTTACTTTAAAAAAAATCGTACCACAGTTTTATTGGTCTAAGACCACAGGCGAGACATCATTTTTGTATCGTTTTTTTTGTAATTTTTGTAATTAGTTTGGACTTGCTTGCTCCAGTTTACGATTTTGTTATTTAAAAACAGCTATTAAACTTTTCACTTCGCACACCAAAGAAATGAAACAGTACACCATAGTACGCGAGTAATGTGTTTGATAGCTGCTAGCATCACTGAAATTGTTTATGAATGAAATAAAGTGCGGATTTACTATATGCTCAGTGGTGGAGTAATATATCATGTGTATCTCAAAGAATTAAAATATTATGGTTTTATTATTTACAAAGAGCTATTAAAATTTATACTTCGCACAACAAAGAAATGAAACAGTGCGCCATAGTAAGCTAGTAACCCGTGCTTGATATCTGCTGGCACCACTGAAATAGTTAATAAATGAAATAAAGTGCGCATTTGCTACATGCTCGGCGGTGAAGGAATATATCATGTTTCTTAAAAAAATAAAATATTTAGAACATATATTATAAATTCATTAACACGCACTTGAACGTAGTAGCGGACTAACTACTCCATAGTCTTCTCAGAAATACGAGGAAGCCCTGCCCAGCAGAAGAACAAATATAATCTGTTGTTAATGAATTTTCTCAAGTTCTGGTATAAGGTATAAGGTTCTGGCATTTGGGCAGCGCGGCGGACACTTCCTTGCCCTAAACCCTCTCAGAAATGAGGGGAGGCCTGAGCCCAGCAGTGGGACGTATATAGGCTGTAACTTTACTAACTTTACTTTACTGGTATAAGAGTCAAATTTGGTAACTGTTGCCTCTATGTTAAACAATTATATTTGAAAAAGACTCACACCAATCAGTCATGTTTAGTTTTAAGCAGTAATATATTTCAAAATAAATCGCTGTGAAATCCAATCCAGTCATCATTCACAATTTGCCACGCGCGATCTTTTGGCTGAATGTCTCTGCCGTGACCCTGAACACGTCTAATTTTAACCCGACTGCAGCCCTTCTTTGCGCCCATAGACAATAAGTGAAGCGTTGTTTGAACTTCAATTACAGCGGGCGAGCAATGCAATGGCTTTTGTTTTACGTTTTATGAATGCACATGTTAAATTAAACTATTTAACATGTGCATTAATTATTATATATTATATTATATATTTTCAAAAGAATTTAAAATACTGTTAGTAAATTCATTTCACAAACAGTTTTGTTTATTTCACATATATTTAGATATACAATTTTCAAGCTCATAGTTAATCAGTATTTCGATATTTAAATTAAATTAAAGTAACAATTTTAAAAACAGTAAGCAAATGTTTATTTACTTATTCAATTCCTGCGTCCTGTTTTGTAAATTTTAACAATGTCAGCGGCTTTGGATATTTTTTTTCTATGTTACAACTGTATATACTAGTAGTCGGGGTTTCAACTACGCCTTGGATGATAGACTTGAATACAAGATGGTACGCATAAACATAAATGGTATTTTGCAATTCGGGTTGGTGATTATTCCCTTGTTTCTCATCTCATAGAACTTGCGTTACATCAGGTACGTAAGTAAACGCGGGAACGTGAAGTACGATTGAAAGCCTCTGTGATTGCCCCTACATTTCTGGTAATATATTATTTCATGCACAGTGATAGTTTCCCGTTATTCGGAAGTCGTTTCTAAATTCGAAAATCGAGCAGGAGAACATCACATCCGTCCGAAGAGTTTAGTTTTAGTTTCTAAACCTAAGATGCAATTGTTGTTAAAATCGATAAAAGCCATCTGCAAATGTAATAAGGTTTAACTGTGCAGTGTCGGTGTGAGATTATACACTACCTCATACTATCCCGTGTCGCAGGAGGCGACAAAGGGAAACTGAGACAGGAGATATGCGGTAGCATCTTACTGATATAAATTAAAAAAGGAACGTATTACTCGCAATGGAGTCAAAAAACAAAAATGGTATTTGTTAGACTTTTTGACAATTATGTATTCGTTATTTTGTCAATTACCTCCATTATGAGTCATACCCCCCAAGCTTTCGGAACGTGATACTTGTGTCCGTGTTGTACATGAATGAAAATATAAATAGATATATCTCAAAATCTATACACATCTTATTTTGTTATAATACCGTTATTGTTCATCAGTCGTTAACCATATCGTCAATCTCTAATGCTTAAATATCAGTCCCTAACCACAACAGTCAGTCACTAGATGTCTACATTCGCAAATTTTTAAATTTCTCGTCAAATACTACATAAAAGGACTAGCCCTTTTAAATATGACATAATAAATTAATCACCCATAATATACATTAGTAGGAAATGCAATAGCATCTTAAATATAATTAAGACAAATTACTTCCTATAGTGGCCCTAATTTTATGAAAACATCCATAAAACAAAATAAAACGTGGTATTTTAAAAACATTTAATATACATTTTTTTTCGTATTCCTACATTGTCATCCGATTCTGAGTTATGTTCAAAATTTCAAGTGTCTACTTCATCAGGAATCAGGTGCTCGAAATTAGGATTGCAAGCTTCCGCCCAGAAACGACACGGCAGACAGACAGACAAGAATGTGGTAGAGCCATGCTGCAGTTACATTAGTAGTATAGTTGCAGCGCGAATGGGTCGGCTCGACCGAGGAAGGTCCTCGCTCTCAAAGAATACCAGCGTCAAATAGTAGCTTAATGGTGCTGTGTTTCGTATGGTGAGTGTAGAGAACCGGAGACCCTTTTTACTGGAAACGAGGCATTCCACGTAAGTCCTCACGGATGACAACGCATCTGCATTTTGATTCGTAATCGAGGATAGATGTAGATGTCTATGGGCCACAGCAACCACTTACCATCAGGTGGACTGTGTGCTCGTTTGTCATCCTATCCTACAAAAAAAAAGAGAAAGTTACTTAATAAAAACGTGGTAAAATAGTTGATATAGGGATTTTAAAAAGTATAAACTGTTTAGAATGACATATTTAATTTCTTAAATTAATTAAAACATCGTGATATTAATGACCGCCGCCCTTTTTCATCGTTTTTTGTTCAGGTGTTTGGTATCCCGGCTGTTCCTCGGGATTGTGTGGCCAGAAAGTAGGTCTGTTAACAGGGTCCAACGCTTCATCGGGGTAGAAATCATAAAACATCTCCATAGTCATGTCTTCAAATTTCGGCAAAGCTTTTACTCTGTTAAGTTCCTTTGTAGCCCTAAACAATAACTTAATATATTATGTTAACTTTAATCACAGTATCATCGCGTAGAGTCTTGATTTAATTTTTACAAAGAATAAAGAATACATTACGTTACAGCTGATTTTTGGCTGCAGCACGAACGAATCGGTTGGACGCACGCTCGCAGTTAAACAGCAGCATAATGCTAACGCATAGAATACTGTAATACATACATAATAGAACGGGGGAGTGGGCGGAGCTCGTGTAGCCACTAAAATGTCACTAACACGTCAATTCACACGTATAAATGTCAACCACCAGATGTGTTTTGGCGTTACAATCGTTTCCAAATTTTGCATGCAAATTATTTAGAAAATGCCACATTGCATGATAATTACAAATAAATATGTATTAAAATCTGTCTGTCAACACAGCGAATCGAGTTTGTAGTAGTGATAAACGACGTTATTGCTTGTATGTGTGCCCCCGGCGACGCCTATCCTGGTACAAAATAAGGTTGACAGCCATTCCATTGTGTATTATAGCATTGTATGTGCTATGTGCTAACGTGTTCTCGACATCTACTTATCATTGGATAAATTGTGTGTTAGTTGTGACCCTTACTTATATTCTACTTATATATTGCATATAACCAGAACCTTTTAAAGTCCGTGTGAACAGGCATCTTCTGGGCCAACTCGCTCCATCGTAAAGCTCACCATTGTCCTCGGGCCAGATGGAGGCCAAAAGTGAGCATATTTCCAATAAAAAATATTTATCTAAAACACGACCTCGAAGTCCTTCAAACGATTTTTTTTATTTATTTTTATTGCATCCTTAAAACAAAAGGATACTAAGGGCGGATTTAATGCCTTGAGGCATTATCTACCAATCAACCCATGGAGTGGTGGGAATTTGACGTAGGTGTGGCAACATATATTATCTGCTTGCTGCTATGCTGCTCTTACACACGATGATGAACTTCACAGCTGTATTATGGTTAAAACAAAAATAGATCACCTCGACCGGAGAGAGTCCAAGCTCTCAAAGAATATCAGTGTAAAAAAGTAGCATAAGGCTGCTGTGTTTCATAGTGTAAAGAAACGGTGCTGTGACTCCATTACTTATAAGAGGCATTCGAGCTTGACCCTCAAGAGTTTGTATTATGATCTTAATCAAGGATGTATATCTCTGTAGGCCACGGCGCGCCGCCCACTTACCATCAGATGGGTGTGTGCGTTGTCATCCTTTCCCTTATTAAAAATATGGTGTAAAGAAAATATTTCATCTCTTTGTATTCCGATTCAAGAAAGAACATATGTTGAGAATTTTTTTTTACTGGCTGTGTAGTAATTATATTAAAAAAGTATTAGGGAGTCACTAAAATTAAAAAACTAAGATATTGCCATGTAGTGACGACGTAAAAAAATCATTACCGCATGTTATCCCGTAGTAGTCGTAAAAGACGAGAGATGGAAATGAAAAAGAAGATGGGTAGCAGCGTCTTTCTGGTAATAACTAAAAAAAAATACGTGTGACACTCGGTGACTGCCGCGGTAAAGCTATTGCATAGCATTTTTTATCAACTTATGCAATTATAATTATTTATTTATTTTATTTATGCAGTTAAGTCTTTGATATTAAATCAAGTTACACTATGTGAGCGTGGTGACCGATAAGAAAACAATTTTTTTTCTCTTGTTGAATAAATGAGAAGTTAATATTGTTTAAAATGTTCCAATATCTCACAAAACACGTAGGTTATTCAGGAATTTTTATCATCGAGTTAGCAGCTAGTGTACACGCATACGTCTAGTCGCACGCACACAAACACCGTGCCGAAGTCTGCCGAGTGCCGAAGTCTGCCGAACTGAAACGACGTTAGACGATGCACGGCTTTCAACGCCACACCTCCGTGCCCGTCGGAGTGGGGAGCGTGAGGTTTTTTTCGTTACGGAATTTCTGGATTCGGTCCCCGCGCTCAAGGCCCGCGATAGAAGCTATGCAATAGCTTAATAATAAAACAATTTACCGTGTAATAGCGTTATAGGAATATCCACTACCAATATCAACCCGTGGGTGTCGTAAGAGGCGAAACAAATCAGGAAATGGGCAGCAGCGTTATACGTGTGGTAGATCCACGCTACAGCTATATCATGGTTTATAGCACGAATCGGTCGGCTCGACCGGGGAAGGACCACGCTCTCACAGAACACGAGCGTAAAATAGCAGTTCAATACTGCTGTGTTACGTATGGTGAGTGTAGATCCGGAGATCTTTTTTTTACTGGAAACGAGGCATTTATTAGTCCTCACAGGGTTGACAAACGCATCTGCGTTTTGATTCTTAATCAAGGATAAATGTAGATGTCTATGGGCCACAGCATCCACTTACCATCCGGTGGACTGTGTGCTCGTTTGTCACCATTATTCTATAAAAAAGCGTCTTCCCTATTACGACTAAAATAAGAAAACATTTATACTTTATATTATGGAAAATATCCTTCCATTGAGGCAATGTATGCCGGAGGCCTATGTTCAGCAGTGGACATTCGATAGGCTGAAATGATGGTGAAAACTAAAATTAGTGTGCCAAGTCCACTCTTACTTTTCTATCTCTTTATCTTGCTCTGCGCAAAACTTTTCAATTTCCGGCTGCAAAGCTTTCCACTGTTCTTCTATTTTAGGCGTTAGTGTGTCTTCTGGGTAAGGAACTTTGTATTTCTCCAAATCAGATTTTAAATCATCCACAATTTTCTTATCGGGAATTAATTTCCTATATGTTTCCCAATTAATTTTCGGCATTTCAGCGGGGTTGGCGAGTACACTTTCATGAAATTAATAAAAATACATGTGTGTAGTATTATTTTCAAATAAATGAATAAATAAAATTAAGAGGGAAACAGCGTAGATTTAAGGATTTCAAAAAAGCGAGATAAGTGTGTCAGGATAAAGCCGAATTGAAATATCTGTGCATGTAAGTTAAGCCATACCGCCTTGGTATGTAAATAATAAAGTTCTTATATGTACGTGGTAGAGGCTCTGTTTGGGCTCTACCGTAGAGTCACGCTACAGCTTCTAATATGTCTACAGTACGAATTTGTGCGCGCTGTGGGGCCAACTCGGCTTGCGTCGAGCCTTGAGGACGCCCCCGACCCCACCCGGGATGAAGATCACCCAACACTGCGCTTAACCTACACGCTGGGAAGCGAACTCCAAAGGCCCGGCGCGCCCAAGTGCGCGCGCCTGTTGGTGACTTCGGCTCCGCGTCGAGATGCTTCTCCGCGAAACCTTGAGGTTGCTGACCCTTCGGCAGATTCTCTTCCCAGAGGCGCGAGATACGCCAATTCCAGCCTAGGGATACCAGGCCTTCAGCTAGAACCAGGAAGGAGCACTGGAGGTCCGGAGCAGCTGCTGTTGGAGCGCCCTCCTGTCGGCAAGATTGGCCCTGCGTCGACTCCCATCCTCAGGACTTCGCGGGGCTTCGAGACGGCCGACCCTCCGGTAGCATCGATCCCAACCAAGATAACCAACAATGTCGTCTTGTACGGATCCCAAGATCGCTCATTATTATGAGCTGTGAGGATTACTCGGGTAATGGGGGACTCCCCGAGGCCCGAACCTGCATTGGATAAAGAAAAGTAGTCCCATAGCAGACGACAATCAACAATACGAATTTGTCGGAGCAGAACAGCACTCTCACTTTACACAAGCTGCTCTGCTGTTTTGTTTAGTAAATGACGGAAACCAGATATATATTTTACTGTTAATGAGGAATTCCATATTAGTCCTCACGGGAGTTTTATTTTTTATTTTATATAAGTAACACAAATATTCAAAACTATAATTGTTTAATTATAGATTTATAACAACTAGGGTGTTTTCGATTATGAGTATAATTATAGGTTATGTATTACCGTTGCCAGTACACATCAGATTTTCCTTTAAACACGTAAAAGTTGGATTTTTGTTCCGGTGGTACTCTTTTCTCTATTTCTAACCAATTAACAGTACGTTTCGTAAATCTTTTAGCCATCATTCAAGATAAAAGATGTGGAGAAATAAACTAACTGCTTATTATTTTGTAAATACTAAATGATACTTAACATTTACAGTCGGTGTATTTACCAATTTATGACACATGTCAAAGTATTTTGATATTTTTTAAATTTATTTAAAAATCAAAACTTTTATGTACTCGTTTTCTATGATATTAAGGTTTTATTTATAAAAAGGTAGATATAAAATTAAAATAGTTGATTTTCTTATTTTATGAGGATACGATTGATCATGATTTTTTTACCGTCTGAAAAAATAGGGTATAAGAAGTGATCGGAATAAAATCCACTGCACTGATATTTTACAATTTTTTTCTTTTACATTAACATATATTATGAAATTTATCTGTCAATAAATACTACTAATTGGTTGCGTATTATTTTAATTTCAATAATTTTTAATTAATTCATTTATTTAGTGCAAAATTTTTGTTTTTATTTTTTAGTAAGTAATGAAAGTTTGTTCCAAACTAGTATGTAGTATTTATTGATAGATCTATTTTATAATATGTTAATGTAAAGAAAAAAATGTAAAATATCAGTGCCATAGGCTTCTATTCCATTCACCTGTTACACCCTATTTTTTCCAGACGGTAAAAGAACAATGCAGTGCAAATCCAGAACAAATCCACATAATTTAATTATTATAAACACTAATTAAGTATGGTTTTTGATTTTTAACTTTGATTAAATTATAAGTATCTCCCTTAAAAAACTTTTAAGTTTTGATAATTTTCAAATAATTAGAATCTACTGCAATTTTGATTAACAGATTATAACGTATTTCTTTATGCATTAATCAGCAATGAATTTTCAAATCAAAAATTATCTCAAAATTATTATTTGCGCCCTTTTCTAAAATGCTTTCACTCATCAATTCAGGTATAAGTAAGCCAATTAGTCAACATGCAAGGCAGAAGACATCGGGTGGCATGCGAAGTTGCGTGAGCCTTTAAAGGTCGGGAACCTTATGGTAACTCATTATCTATGTTAACGCACGATTAAATGTAGCTCTTGTTACAGCGCATAACGGCGCATATTTTTTCTGAATTGCTCAAGGCAAACGAAACCGTAATCATTCAGACTGTTCAAAAACTTTCGACTCGCGAAGCCACTTATGTAAATTGTTTAATATTATTTTATCACGATCTTGATAGCCTATCGCCTGATAAGATATGGCGTGTTTTATTTTAAATAAATTTTATAAATTACTGATATCGTAACTTGTCCAGCGTTGGTACAAGTATAACTTTGATATTATTGTTTTTATTTACAAAATTTATTTCTTGCAGTTGATTGATCAATCTTTCATTTTTTCATGCGTTAAACTTAAAAAATCTGAACTTCAATCTTAAAGGACTATTACAATTGTGACGACTCCGTGGCGCAGTGGCTTGGCAATGAGTGGCTGCGCTGGGGGTCGCGGGTTCGAATCCCGCACGGAACAAGTATTTGCATGGCCTACAAATAATTGTTCCGGGCCTGGATGTTTGTCCTTGTGCAATTTATGTTTGTAAACTGCCCCCACGATACAGGAGAAAATCCTAGTGTAGGAGTAACGTTTTAAAAAAATGACAAAAATTTTTCAATTCAAAGATTCTATGGTTATTTGATTAAATTTGGGAGAGGTCAACTTAAGTAATTTTAATAATTTAATCTAGGCTATATTTATCACAAAAACTTGAAGATTTTTTTTTGTAATAACGAAAAATAGATAGTATAGATAGAATCCTATCTAGGCGACGCCGGGGCGTGTCGCTAGTTTAAAATATAATAAATAAATATAAAATATAATTAAAATTATGTTAAATAAATAATATTAATGTTAATATCCGTTTAATTTATTTTATTCTATGTGTACTAAAATACTAACTACACAAAGAAATACTTTAAAGATAATTTTTCTAGAACTCGGCAATCCTGACGATTAAACCAATTTGGTGAGCGTTTTATCATATACGCGTGCATTTACATTCTGTCATCATCATGACAGCCCATTACAAGTCCACTGACGAACATAAGCCTCCCCCGTGGAAATCCTACAAAGAAATGTATGAGTCTGCATTCCTCAACAGGAGCGTCACTCGATTTACTGGGAGGTCGCCTTACACTTTACTTACCGATACGGGGTTGTAAATCGAGAACTTTTATTCTCTATCGGTTATCGGTTTTTCGAGTTATATAACCGGCCCATTTCTACTTCAGATTATTGATCTGTATATCTATACTATACTAATCAGTGTGAAGGATACAGTATCCCGAGTGGCAGCTGCTCAAAATGTATGTCAAATGCGCTTCTACGTCACACGCGCCGACAAAAGCTCTCCCCCCACTGAGGTATTTCGCTTAGGTTAAGCACAGAGTACTGAATCGCCCAGCAGAAAGGATTCAGTACTCTGTGGGGTAAAAAATAGTGGATCGTTCGGCGCTAAAATAACACGTACTACCATTTCAGTGATGTAGCGACGTATTTTTGTTTAAGTGAAGTAACAAACTTTAATTCCACGTAAAGATAAGTTATACGTGGTATTGCCAAGCTGCAGCTATATTATGGTTGCAGCATGAATGGATCATATCGACCAGGCAAGAACCACGAATACGAGCGTAAAATAGCAGCTGAATACATAGTACTTTTTCGTAAGGTGAAGAAAACCGGAGACCCTTTTTACTGGAAACGAGGTCTTCAAACGATATGTAGTTTTTTTATTTTCAAAAAATGTCTATGGCCACAGCATACACACACCATCAAGTGGACTGTGAAAGGTTACAGATGTGAAGTTACCTGTGAGGACTAAGATGTAATATGACTCTCAGGCCTGTAATTATAGTGGTTCTCTATACTCTTCGGACCCTATTTGGCAGCAATAAGAGAGTGAGGACTTTTTAGCTTGGTTTAGCTTTCGATATATATATTGATAGGCCGCCACTGAAGACCCTGTAGCATAATACAGGAGTTTCTTTTTACAATTCTAAGCTAGCACTTGGCTACTATTTCTCTAGTAAGTAGTGATGTAACCAAAGATCGTAAAGCGCACCAACTTAACAAAAGCTCGTTCACTCATGTTTTGAAGACGCCCACATTGTAATGGGTTGTAAGGACAGATGCTGGCAATTTATTCCACTCCTTTGCTGTAAGCATGACGACCGATGAAGCAAACCGTTTGGTTCAAATGCGTAAAATAGCTCTAACCTGCTTCAAGCACGTTAGACAGTTTTAACACTTATGTAGTTTTCAATTTTATAGTTTAAAAATAAGTAAATTGTGAAAGAATTTAATAAAATTGTTGTCAAAGTCAAGATTCAATATTCAATTTAAGCTTACTTAGAGCTCTTATGAACATCAAAATCTACACTGGTTTCCAAGATCAACACCTTATTTTAGAGAACCGCCAAGAATCTATGGCTATATAATTAAATAGTCCAATAAATAACACACTTCGAATCCGGACGTTCAAATTAGCAGCTACCATTCACTACTAGGTTTCCTACAAATTGTCCTCAAAAAGAATCACCGCAGTCGTATTTCAAATCACCCTCCAACACAAATGAGCGACAAATCACCACACCGTTTCAATTACAAGACAATAACCTTCATGGTGTCAGCATCGTGGTCGTTTCCGCCGGATATTAGGCGCAACGACAAGACAGTATCGGCCGAAGTTCTAACGTGCCGAATTCGACTGACGACATATTTACCGAATCACCCAATCCTTTTGCTTTGATGCGAACAAAACTGACAAGCGATTTTATTTCATATTCCCGAGAAATAAAGGCTTGATTTACGAATGTCCTCAGATATAGAGAGCAGTAGTACACGTTGCTAGAGGAATCGTTTCCGGCCGGATCAACTACTTACGTACTAAAGTGTTAACTAATTTCGATTGCTTTGATGAGATTTGATTGTTCTAGGAAATGTAGTGTTTGAAATTTAAATCATCATAAATTAATAACATTCATGTTTCTTTTTTATCTTTTCAACTTCGCCTTTTTCTTTATAACTCATATTTTTGTAGAGCGTGTTTGTGATTTTTACTATAGTAAATTCGTCAAGAATTTGAAACCATAATTATATAGATGCTGTAATTATTTTTCTTGTTTTTTTTTTTTTTAATGCTGTAATGGTTCTCTATCGATGACGGATTTAAGTATCGCGCCACAATGAGTACATACGATGAGAAGGGTTGTGTTCTGAAACGTAAAAAAAATTGTGATCTGGAGACTTGGCAGACTTTCCGACGACATTTAGTCCTATAAGACTTACATTCCTCTTTAAATTTGCGGTAAAAATATTGAGTGTCACTTATCGAAATAAAAAGTATACCATCTTTCAAGTTGGACCAAACTGCACACAGTGCGCAAAATTTTATTGCAATCAGTGGTTTAGGAGTTCATCGCGGACAAACCATGTGATACGTAATTTTTATATACATGGTTATTTTTCAAAGAGTGGACAAATTTTAAACTTAAGTTCAAATATATAAATAATGATATACCGTTATTGCAGCTTTTGAAAATACGAGTAAATAAGGTTTCTAATTTTATTTAAAACAATCCCTTTGAATGTGATTTATGGACAACAACGTTTTTGCCTACCGACCCTTACGAATGTGTGCGTTTTTTTTTTTGTAATTTTTTTTTACTAATTGTTATTTACCATTTGCCTATATTACTTATTCTGAACCTACTCGGCAAATTTGGCCGGTTATTGCAAAATAACCCTATATATTTAAATAATCTTACTGTACTTACACATCGCTCCTTGGGGAAGACTTATACTTTTACTTGAAATTATCCCACATTAAATTTGATTTATAGGTAACAACGTTTTTGCTTACTGATCGACACTTACTGCCCTTACGAATGTGTGCGTGCGCAAAAAAAATTACCACCATTTTGCATTTAAAAGATAAAAAGTGTGAATTTTTTTCAATTAATTTTTCCTTACCTATTGCCTATATTACCAATTCTGAACCTTCTCTCCAAATTTGGCCGGTTATTGTGGATAAAGATTATTTAACAACGTCTTTTAAAATTATTTTTATGTACGGGTTTTTAAAAATAAATTTTTGTTTCAGTCCCAGCACAATGAAGCTGGAATGGGCAGAAAGCGAGTCCGACTTCGGTCTGGAGGAGGCGGCATTCTACGAAGGACCGACGCCCCTGGCGGCACCCATGCGCAAGAAGGTCTCCTTCAGCTTAAGGCTTGATTTGGTAAGCACCAACCCTCAGCTTTTTAATGCAAGCTGCAATTTTACCTTTTCAGAATGATATTTGCCTTTTAAAAGAAACAGTATTTCGATCGATTAACTAGAACACTCGACTGCATTTCAAAATTAACTTTCCTAAAATTGAATTAACAAAGTACTAATTATTATTGGAACCTCCGTAAAGCTGTTTAGTGTCCCATAGACGTACGTATTCCATTACGGGAGTATACATGTGCTGAATTTCTTTTTTTATAAAAGTAACTCCGACAGACGAGCACAGTCTACCTAATGGTAAGTGGATACTGGGACTCAGACACCAACATCTATCCTCTTTCAAGAGGCAAAATGCAAATGTGTTGTCACCCTTGAAGAATAAATTTTATATGCCCCATTACCTACGAAAAGGGTTACCAGTTCTGGCCTTTCCAAATGAAATATATAGAAGGATTGTGCTGCTATTTTACACTGGTGTTCTATAAGAACGTGATTCTTTCCATTTGTGTATGCACCACGCCAAGCGCGCGCGATTTCTTAACTATCGAATAAAAATCATTACTTAAGTAATTCCTTTTACTCAAGATAATTAATCTTTTACTTGTTTATAAATACGGATGATAGAGTTTTCTCACTTATCCAGTTCTCACTTACCCAGTTTTGACTGTATATATTTTTTATTTCTCAATTAATTTTAACAAAAGAAACACTTATACCAGCCCAAATTTAAATATCAATAAATCACTCAAAACCGCATCCTAATTGCTTAGGCTACTGTGGAGATCAGCGTGCACACGCACACTGACTAGCAGACAAAAAACCGCTTACATTTTATTATAATATATGTATAATTGATATAAATAAGTTTTAATAGATTGCAAATAGCAAAAAAAAAACTCGTCTCATTAATTATTTTTTGTATTTCTTCGTCTTGCATTTACATGTTTGTGAATTCTGTAATTATAAATTCAGCTTGTAGAATTTCTAAATCTAGAACCTGATGGTACATTACCATTAAAGATAACCGGATATCCGACAATGTTGGGAAAAGTTGCTGCATCAAGATACACATTAGGCGGTAGGGATAAAGAGACAACTGGCTAAACCTGGTTTTAAAGACTCGTTTGCAACGTTAGAAATTATAATAGGTACTGCTATTTTATATTGCTAGGTTATACAGGAAATGATAAAATTAAACTTTTAATAAAATGTAAAAACTGACTTTAAAGATTTAAAAATAAGAAAATAATTTTCACATAATAGCTTCTGAAGTCAGTGTTAAGATATAGTGTCGTAGAATAAAAGCTCCTGGTTTCAGAAGTTAATATGAGGAAATCATTTTATTGTTTTTAGTTTCTTGAAGTCGGTTTTTAACTGGGACTCTTTTAAATGGGACCGTCTTTGTGTTATAGTTTATTTAATATACAAAGAATCACCAAAATTGGCTCACAATGAGGATTGACAACTTTTTCTGTCACCAGGGCGGCGCCATTTTGGATTAAGTTGAAATATTTGACAGATTTCACAGCGAGGGAAGTTAAATTGTTAGAAAAAAAGTAGAGATTAATTTTTCTTTTGAAATATTAGTTATATTTTATATTATTTTGATTTTTTAATTGATAAACGAAATTACAGATATCACTAAAAATAGAAGAATAAAAAGTTAAAAATGTGTGAAAAGTTACATACACTAGAAACTAGAAACAAAAAAAGCTTTTATTTAATTCTCAACTTTTGAATGGTGTAGACACTGTGGTAATATCCACGTAACAATCAAGTTCACTTAAGTCTAGGATTGCCAGACGTCCTTTATTTTTAAAGGACGTCATCTACTTCATACCCTAAAATTGATCAAGTCCTCTAATTTGAAATTTTTATTAGAGCACAAGGCAATATACTTACTCCGGTGTTAAAGAATTTCAAAATTATGTTGACATGACGTGAAACAATATGTTACATTGCGTATTAACATTGTTTTTTAAAATTAATAATGACAGATAACATAACCAGCATTTTATTGTAAACTATATGATATTTTCTATTTTTATATCATTAATATAATCCTATCAAATCCTCTAAAACATAAAACGGGAGCTGACAATCCTTCTTCAGTCCCAACTGGTGACTACACATTATATCATTGGTGAAGATACCACGTAAATATATAAAAAAGAAAACGTAAAACCAAACACTTTAAAAAAAATCAAACCCCAAAATGGTTTTTCAACTTATATTTAACTTGAACTGGGGGCTGTCGGTGATAAAAGCCCGGTTTTTTAAAAAAAAAAAAAGAAAAAATTAGGTTAAACAGTGGAAGTGCTAGAGGTACAAGTCTTAAAATTTCAATGTAGTGTGTTTCATCTTTCAACAAAACTTGAGATACATTTTGAATCCACAACACATTTTGAAAGGCACGCTGTATAGTGATTAACCTAAGTATACAAGCACATCTATGAAAGCAAATCTCACGATGCAAGTACATCAGTAAAAAGTTCAAATAAAAAGAAAACGCTAACACAGACTTAATAATAAGGCAGGACTGCCTCGTCAAACTGGAAACATGTCAGCAGCTTCATAGTTACACGTAGTCGTTTCGGTATTTTAGCAGAGAACTGCGCTGAAACATGGCGACGTGTGTGTGCAACAAGCTGTTGAGCACAGGAGAATTAAATGTAGTTAAATAAATATTTAACAGTTTAAGAAGATATTAATAAAAAATGTGAAATATACGAATCTGCAATAAAAACAATTTTCAATACTCTACAGTTGATTTTAAATCATTATTTTTAATTTTAAAAATGTAAGGCTGCATTTTATAATACTACAAACCAATGATTTTTGAAGTTAAATTAGGTTATTTTCATATTCTTAGAAAAATAAAAATTACTATATTTAAAATTGAACCGTTTTATCTATTATATCTAGGTCTTGAATTTAATTAATCTTACTAGCTGTAGATTTATATTAATTATAAAATAAGTATAAAGTAATAAGGAATTCACTTGTTTAAATGTTGTTGTGCATCTGCACAAGACTTGTTCTTACTTGTCGTTATTATTTATCCCATTCACCATGGAAGGTGGTTTATTAGTAAATAAGATTTAAAGAATTGTATTAACCCAAAAAAAAAAAATTAAAAGTTTGTAAATAATCGTTATATATGCGAGCTAACTTATGAAGTTAGCTCGCCCGCTGTCAAGTTGTCCTCGGTTAGAGCAGGACAAGTCGCCGGACGTGTCGACGTTGCGCAACAGAGCGTGCGCTCTTTGTCTACACTAGCGTCCCCTTTTTATAGCACAATAGAACAAAGAATATATCGTATTTTAATAAAACACCCTTTATAGACTACGACTTCGTATTTACATAAGTGACTAATAAAATAATATGTTTGCATTTTCAATAAATATTTAGCAACTACTTTTACGGATTTGATCGCGTTTTATTTATTTTATTTTTAATACCCGACGTTTCGGGTGCTTTCCAGCACCCATGGTCACGGGGGACTGAGGTGACTGACGTCCCGATGTCAAAGTTAACACGGAGTACCTTCAGCTTTTTAATTATTGTCGATCTACGCAGAATGAACTAACTGTGTTTTGAAGTCTTGCAGTGGTATGCTTGGGTTTAATTTTAATTTTATTAATTATAGGATCCGAAGCAGGTGGTAGTACCCAGCCTCCTTCTCTATTGAAATTAGGTTTTTTTTTTAATTTCAATAGCCTCACGTATCATCCTTGGTAGGAATCGATGTTCTTTTGTTTGCCCTATATCTAAGAGATCAATTAGAACCCGCGTAAAAGAACACATAGCTGACATGAAGAATCAACGTTCCGGGAAGTCTGCAGTTTGCGATCATATTCTAGATGACCCCAACCATTAAATCAGATTTGATAGACCACAAATCCTCGCGAAAGAACATCAATTCCTACCAAGGATGATACGTGAGGCTATTGAAATTAAAAAAACATCCTAATTTCAATAGAGAAGGAGGCTGGGTACTACCACCTGCTTGGGATCCTATAATTAATAAAATTAAAACTAAAACCAAGCATACCACTGCAAGACTTCAAAACACAGTTAGTTCATTCTGCGTAGATCGGACCAAAGATAATAATTAAAAAGCTGAATGTCAATGTCATTAAATATTTAGCAATCTAAAATAATTTTTACGTGGTAGAGCTATACTGCAGCTATATTATTGGTTTAGTTGTAGCATGAATGGGTCGGCTCGACCGGGAAAGGACCACGCTCTCACAGAACACCAGCGTAAAATAGCAGCACAACCCTGCCGTGTTTCGTATGATGAGAACCGGAGACCCTTTTTACTGGAAACGAGGCATTCAACCTTAGTCCTCACGGGTGACATCGCATCTGCATTTTGATTCGTAATCGAGTATAGATGTAGATAGATGTCTGTGGGCCATAGCATAGCTATATAGCTATATAGCAACCACTTACTATCAGGTGAACTGTGTGCTCGTTTGTCACCTAAAAAAAAGATATAATGTAAATATATTTGTACCTAAACACATTTATAAGGTTTGAAGGATATTTTGGCTTTATGTTCATAATCTTTACGTAAAGAAAGATAAACTTTACTAAATGAGAAGACCGACTGCTTTAAGTATACATTTTTAAGAACAACAAAAACTATTTTAAGGTTTATTTTATCTGTATGTTAAAATAAGTGCGTGGTAAACAATATTAACCGCTTCGGTGTATAAAAATTTAATGAAGTGGTTTATTTGAACAAAATCTTCACGGCTTCGGTTACAATCAATCATCGCCGGCCCAAAGGAGTACAGAAAAAGCCAAAGTTCCTATTTCAAAGTCGATGTTCTTTTTTTAATTTGTTTCTTTTATTTTTAAACCTGCCCGTGACACTGACGTTAAGCTTTACTAATGAGTTTCGACATTAGCTTACTGCGTGGAAAAAGTGTTGAGACTTTTTTACGAATGGGTTACAATATATTGTTTTATAATTTAAAATGAAATACGTAACAAGAAGGT